GGAGGGCACCCCGCTGCGTTTCGAGGTGGGTGATGTGGGGCTCTTGTGGCCTAGGGTGACTCAGGAGTGTTGGAGGCACCCTGGTGAATTGGGGGGCTGAGGGAGGGGAGGGTTGGGGTGGTTTTTTGGGGGTTTCTTTTTCTACTTAGAGCACGGCTAGGTGCGACGATGGGCAGGGACGGTGCTTTCCCGGAGAGCCTGCGAAGCTTTCCCCGGCCTTGCTGCTCCTCCTTCCCCCTGCCCGGCGCGGAGGAGCCCCTTCATCGCCGGCTCCCGCCCCGAGCGGCTCAGCCGCCGAAGGCCAAGGCCATCTTTTGTTCCCCTGCAACGGCCCCGAGTGCCTGCTCCGCGGGCTAACGAGGTCGGCTGGGCTGGGGCTCTGCATCTGCTGCCTCCCAAGCCTGGGTTTTTTTGGGTTTTTTTTTTTTGCTAAAACTGCTGCGAATCCCCCTTCCTCAAATGGTCTGTTGAGAGTTGGGTGACTTCTGTAGTCAGGGGAAGGTCGTGATTATGAAGGAGTCAGTTAACCAGAAGAGTGTTTATTTGTTCTGAATTGAGATGTTTGCACTAAAAAAAATATATAGCAGTCAGCTGTGTGTCAGTTTGTATGGGAATATTCACAGCACATACTAAGTTACTCTGTGTGCAAGTGCTCTGCATCTTAGCTGCTGGAGAAGTTCAGAAGGATAATTAAGTAGAAAAAATCCACCACCTTTGCCCTGCCTGTTCAATGGCTTTTTTAGGCATTTGAGATCACGTTGGTGTTTTGGATGTTGTGTCCCAGTGAACTACCTGTTGTTTAACAGGTAGTTGCCATGAAGCCCTCAACTTAAAAATGATAGGTACCTGAGGTTTAATTATCTGATGTCATTGAATTTATGTTCATTCTCAAATACAGAATGACAGACTGCTGCTTGTGCCTGGATAAATATTCTTCTAAAACGTGCAGCAATTTCATTTTTTGTGCACTTTGGCCACAGTGGGAAAACTTGCTGCCTTTCACAATACTTGCTTGCATGCATTGGATACTGACCACTTTAAACAAAAAGATGCCTTTAATAAAGCCTCCCTTCCCCTTTCACTTTATCACAGCTACTAGCTAATGAACTTGTGAAATAGAATTTAGACCATATCTCGGTTGCAAATATTTTAAATAAGTGCTGAATTACTTTTAATGACTTAATCCTAGAAAGGAGTTTGGTTTTTAGATTTAATATCTAAAATACTGGGCAAATGTGGTGTATGTATATGGGGTCAATTTACTGGGTATTTTAATGATCTGAATCTGGTTTAGCAATGGTGCACAAGTAGCTCCATGACAAACCTGAGGAAGTCTCCAAACAAACCTCCCCTGCTTATGGAGCTTGTTTTAGAAGGTGTTGCCAACCTTTTCATGTCCTAGGCTTGTTTCTAAAGTAATTACAGTAAATGACTACAGTCTATAAAGATCCACTTGATCCACTGTTGTCTCAACTTTGGAATGAAGGAAAGCAATGATGTTCACTTCAAGTTCTACAAGTTGTTAATGTAAAAACTCTTTATGTATAAAATAAGTTGGGCTAAAGTATGAATATGATGAAGAATAAAGAAGGAATGAAGAAATAGCTAATACAGGCATGCTTTGCTTGCCATTGCTTCTGTAGCCATTGTTTGCATTCCATTGCTGATTAAAAGTGCTGTCGCGGGGCTTGCAGACAAAGCAGCTGAGTTCAGTGGAGAGTATGAAATGTGTGCAGAGACTTACACACAGAAATTTGAATACATAAGGGCAATGAGATTGAAAACATGACTTAAAACTTTCAGTGGGAGTGTTCTTGTTACCTTTTTATGACAATGAAGGCAATCATTTGGAGTCTTCCTCAGCTGATTTTCTGGATTAACATTGACTGCATGATGGAGGATGGAAAAATGAGGAAAGGATTAGCTGTTTGGTCAAATCAAGCATTTGAGATCATTTGGAATGGTTATCCATTGCAGAAAGCCAGCATCTCCACTTGATGATACTGATTACATTGCATAGGTGGTACAAGTGAACACATCAGTTCTTATGAAAGAAATCACTTTGATAATGGTTTGACAGATAACTAACTGCACTTCTCAGGGGTCATCCTTCAAGGACAATGATGCCTAGATCTTGCTTAACATACCTTTTGTGCTCTGGTCCTTCTGGTTTTTGCCTGTTTCTGTTTTAAAGAAACAGCAGTAACATCACTGAGTATTAATGTTAAACCTTTAAGAACAGCAGAGGTTCCAAAGGAAATAAAAGGTAGATAGCGTTTAAGTACCTATAACATGCTGGCTTGCCTGGGATACTTGAAATGTGTTCTTTCTCCATTTCTAACTTATTTTCATCCTTAATCTTAAATGTGATGCAAGCTTTAGTTTGAAGTCCTTCACACTTGAAATACTAGTAAGATTAGATCAGCCTATATGGTCGACTAAAGCTTGTGCATGTCCAATGTAAGAACAGTATTTAAGAAATACCTTTTTAATTACAATTTTTTTGAGGTTTGCATACCAATAATGTCTATGCTGCAAAGGATTCTTAAGTATTATGTGTCTTACAAAAGCAGCACGTGCTCAGACAGTGCAGGAAAAAGCTAAATAACTTATTTCAGGACTCTGATCCTAAACACACCCTAACTAACCAAATTGGTTTTTGCTGTTTGCTGATGTACAATGTAGTAATGAGACCATGTGAATAAAATAGAGAAATGATTGTCATCAGCCCCTTGCAAAAGCTGTAACATTGCTTAGCTAGATGCCCTATTACAAGAGGCATGACTGTATGTCACTACTGGCTTTAAGGGGTTGGGAATGAACAAACTTGCAAATGACAGAGCTCCCTTTAAAGGATGGGCAGCTTAATTTGTAAGGTTATAATGTTAACTGTGGAAAGTGTGATATCAACAATTAACTTGCTAGACCCCTAACAAAAGCAGAGGGGCTGTGCAGTGCTGCATTCAAAAGCTTTTGGACAGTCTTCCAACGTCTAACTTTTCATATGAAGGTTTTCAATACTTCTAAAACTTCTTTTGAAGCTGTTAATCTTTGCTAGCCAGTGCCAGGCTTCCAACTTCTTTGATTATCTGAAAGTGCATCTGGCTGACCACACCCTCTCATTCATGCTGTGATGTTGTATGTGTTGATGTTCTAGAATGAGTCTGCAGATTTTAAATGCAGAAAATGGAGAAAACGGAGGAAACATCAATGATGACCTAACAGCGGAAGACTGTGGCTTTTTCTTCGCACTGCCGGAACCTACAGGGAGACCTTCCATTCTACGTCTGTCCCAGAAGGAAAACTTGCCACCAAAAAGTGTGTCAAAAGCTATGAAGGTAAACTTTGCTTTTGTATTGATCATATTCTTTGGCCTTCTATGATCTCTGCTACTGAATGCATATGCTATTTGGAGCTTGAAAATATTGTGGTGTTCATGTTCTTCCTTCCCCCTCCACCCCTTTCTTAAAGGTAACCTTTCAAACTCCTCTAAGAGATCCTCAGACTCGAAAAATCTTAAGTCCTACTATGACAGACAGACTTGAGACTACTTTCACGCTTGAAGATTGCAGTGAGGCCTTGGTGGATGATCTTTTATCCACACCCATCAATGTTGAGTAAGTAATGTATTCACTGCTAGTAGTAGTAGCAATGTGTTTTAAATAAAATAAATATTTTAAAAAAAATGTTTCCTACAGTAAGGTTTTCATGTGAGACTACAACTATTCTGAAGCTAATCCTTAAAGCGAAGCCTTAAAATTTCTTCTCTTGTATGTTAAGTACAGTTTTATCTCTTCAGATTTTTCTCCTTAAGATACATCTTCTGAAGGGCTAGTTTGAATTGGCACCCTGAGTCAATGAGTATTAAAAGAAAATCTAGCAACACAAAGTGAATGTAACATCAATCCCAAGTACGAAAAAGTTTGTGCGCCTTTGTAGTCTAGCAGCCTGGGTCTCAAAGTGGCTTATGGTAGCTGTCTAGAGAAGAGCATAAACTCTGCAGTGTTCCAGTTTGAAGTTTTGTAACTATCCTTTACTAGAAATATTGTTATAATGGTATAATAATACAATGTAATGATGAAATAGGCCTCAATGCATATTTTTGTTACTGACTTTTTTTAGCCCCTCTTTAAACTTGTATAAACATGACATCTATAATTCCCAGTGGCAAGAAGGCTCAGATCTTAGCTTTGTCTTCTGCAAGGAAATAAATCCTTTTGCTTGTTTTTAACTACCCAATACTTTCATTTGACCCCTATTCTTGTTTTTGGGATGGGGAGAAGGGAGAATGATGGGAACACTTAAGTGTTCTTAAACGTATAGATTTGCTTCAACTGTTAGCTTGCATGTATACTCTAGTCTAGAAAAGTACT